CACTCCTCCCCGAATGACCTATGGCTCCATCCCATGCCCTGCCCCGGCTGGGTGGTGCCTGCCCCAGCCCCATTCCTCCCTCACCATGGGGGTCCTGATCCCCCCACGACTCTTCCCCTCCCCTCCCCTTCCACCACACCAGATTTACCAGCTGCACGCAGCTCTCCATGCTGTAAAAAAATTCGGATTGGTATTGGCCAATATGCCTCCTTAAAAATTGCCCATCTGTATTGGCCCCCAAAATCTCTACCAGTGCAACCCTAATTGTTCCCTGGTTTGCTGGTTCCATGGTTGCCATTTCTTTGGCTTGTACTGGTAGTTGCCCACCCGTCCCCTGGCAATTTGATTAAAGCCCTGAAAGATTTTTTTGGCTAACATGAAATGTGGGGCAGCAGTGGTGATGAATATCAGGCTACAGTTTTCCAACGTTGTGCTAGACTCTGGATGTGGATTATTTACCTAAGTGCTAGAAGGGTAGTAATTTAACTTGCTAAATTCCATTTATTTATGGCACTGGATACTATCCCCCTTGTCTGTTTTCAGGCCCCTGAAATTGCAGGTAAGAAGTTCCAGTAGATTACAAAAGGAACGAGTTGTTTTTGCTATTGCCAGAGATACCAAAGAACAGAGGGGGTTGGGATTTGGGGGGCTCTGATGTAGTTGAATACCTTTATCCACAACATCAATTTCAGGATGGTAATTTTGCCTTCCATAATCTCTTCCTTGGATTCAAAGAACTGGTATTCGGCTCTCAACCTTTGGGGTGCTTATTTTCTGTACACAGAATGGGTGACAATATAAAAAAAAAAAAGGATGCTTTAAAATTGTCACTTCCCACTAAAATAAGGTGTTGTATTTGGTTTGCTGACAGCACCAAGCATTGTTCACTAAAATACTGGAGATAATGGTGGTCTACTGGAGAAATAAGATACGCAAATAGCTTCTATGTGATTTAAGTAGACAGCAAGCCCATTCAGCAGGCACTATTTGCTGGGCTCCCTAGGACTCAGAATTAAAAAGGAGCAACCAAACTTATTCGTCACTCAAAATGTACAGAGGCAGTTCCAAATGCAATAGCAACAAAAATATGTCTGTCCTGGGGCAGGCTTGTCAACACAGGAAATAACCAATAGTAGGCATATCTTTTGGCATAGCTGAGATGGTTTTGGATCTCAAGGTCATACAACATTCTGTCCCTATGTAATTCAGCACGCTAGGCTTCCTTATATGTCAGCATGGTTGAAGTCTGTATAGAAACTTAGCACACTACATATATAGTTCCCTCAAAAGTTAAATTGTCCACAAATTGGTGGAAATATACAGAGAAAAAATTGCAAAGGGTTACCATCCTCTCCAGGATTATTTTCCATAGCTCTAGTCATGGTTACCCCCATCATGAAAAGGGAAGATTCCAGCTGTGTAGATAGATCTCTGTTTAATGACAGCAAATGTGTAGACAATGGGTGCTTTCATTGTGGGTGAGTTAAAAATCATATTTACAATGCCAAGAGCTTTTTGTTACATAAACCTATTACTCAGGCCTGGGAATTGTTTAAGGCACATGGGATTGTTAGCACCCTGCGGCTAAACAGGTGTTGTGAAGACCAGTTATTGCACAATCAAACAAACAATTAAATAAAATAATAAGTACAATAAAATAAGCCAAAGGTTACATACATTATTAATACTTAAGGTGCTGGTATCGGCCAGCAGCGACTGCCTGCAGGTGGTAGTAGTGGTGAGTGGGGGTGGTGAGTGGTGACTGCCCCCAGAAATCAGTGTCGTTGTTGTCATTGGCCAATCTCAGGGGAGGGTATATCCCCTGACCCCGAGTCGCCTATGCTGGGGAGGAATATAATGGCTCTCTCTATGGGCTTGGGAAGGGCAGGGGGCAAACACTAGGGAGAGAAAATAGCTGTTTAATCTTAAAAGATTAACACAAGAACAAGATATAAACTAGACATTAATAACTCCATCCTGTCAATCAAAAGAAGAGTAAGGTTCAAGAACAGCTTCTTAATATTAGCAGAGGGAACAGAACAACTATTTTAAACAAACACTTGCTAAATTTATGAGCCAGATTATGCAACATGATGTCAACAACACGCGTATTAGTAGGTCACTGACAGGATTGGATGTGGGGATCTCTTCTAGTTCTGTTTCCACAGTATCTGAGGGCTTCTGAAAATCACAACACCCTCTGTGCTGCATTTATTATTTGCATCCTATTAGCTGCATTTTACAGCTGGAAATTTAAGCACAGAGATTAAGGCATAATTCTGCCTTAATTCTGCTGTTTCCTAACTTCAGTGCTTGATTTTACAGTCTGAATAATGCTCAGTGTCACATCAACACTGTGTGTAAAGTTCTAGGATTTTAGGAAAGGGAAATGGAAGGAAACAAAGGCCATTACTGGCCTCCTATTGATATCTGGATGATCTCAGTAGAGTTAAAGCCTGATATGATGAGGTGGCTGCCTCCTGGGCTGGAGGGAGGGGTATGTACAAAGCTAGGGAGTTTTGCAGATTGCTCCCCTCTGCTGCAGGCTATGCTTTTCTGCCGTGTCACGCAGAAGACCAAGTCCCTCTTTGAAGGCTCAGGACAAGTGTAGTGGCTTCTTAACCTAGCAGGGGAAGAACCATGCATCTGTGTCCAAAAAGGCAGGTTTCGTGAAGCACACCCTGGGACAACTGCTCTTCTGGTATGGTTCAGTACCTGCTGAGGTGCAGCAGCTTTAAACCCAGTTTATGGAAATGGGGCCCTTTGCTTGCTTCGAGGGCTTTATAGCTAAGGGCAAGCAAAACTTAGGGGCATCTAAACCCTAAGTTTCCAGTCTTAGGCCTGCAAGTAGGATGCCTGCCAAAGATTTTAGAAACATCCTAAGCCCCAGATGCAGGTGGGGGATGTTTGCCTAATAGGGCCACTTATAGTTCTGGTCACTTGGGTTTGGAATTAGTTTTGCCTAATTTGACCGTTGATACAAATTAAGTAAATAAAAAAAGTCCCTTTACTCTGTCCCCTTCAGCCGGCTCCTGCTGCAGTCCTGCCTGTTTCCCCACAGCTGGCTCCCGGGCCGCTCTCCAGGCCTCAGCTCCGAGTTCCTGTCCCCCCGCCCCGCCTCATCTCGCCCTCGCGGCGCCTGGCTTTCCTCAACCCCAGCTCAGTCGCGGGGCTCGCGCTCCGGCCGTCCCTACACCCCATCTTTCCTCGCGGCCCAGGCCCCGCCCCCCCCAGCGACTCATCTCTGCCCCGGCCCGCGCGGGGGCTCCGGTGCCGCTCCCGGGGCTGGCGCCGGCAACGGCCAGATGCAGTGAGGGGCGTTTGCTACTGCCGCCCTCCCCGCGCGCCGCGTTACAACCCCGGCTGCTATTGGCTGCGGCGCGAGGCCCGGCCC